ATTTTTTGAGACTTGCTCCATGACCTAGAACAGGGCCCAGCTAACTTTTTCTTTAAAGGACCAGGTAGTAAACATTTTAGGGTTTGTTGCCCATGCAGTGTCTGTCACAACTGCTCGGCTCTGCCATTGCTGTGTGAAAGCAGACACAGGTGAAGGGGTGGCCATGTTCCAGTAAGACTGTATTTTGGACTGATTTTGAGTTTCATATAATGTCATGTCACAAAATATTTTTTTCTAACCATTTGAAAAAGTAAAAACCATTCTTAAGTTTGCAGGCCATTCAAAAAAGGCACCAGGCTGGAATTAGGCCCCACGGGCTATATCCTTGGCCTAGAATATGGTCAATTAAAAAAAAAAAAATTCTGTGCATGCTTGTAGAGAATATGTCTTCTGCAACTGTATTTTGTATGTATCCATTAGGATGGGTTTGTCAGTTGTGTTGTTGGAAATCGTCTAAGTTCTTACTTGTCTTTTAAAAAATATTTTCTTTGAAATGTAACATAAAGAAAAGGGCACACGTTGTAAATGCACAGCTTGATGAATGTCTTCAAAGCAGACGATTTATTTATTTATTTATTTTGGCCACACCTCAACAGATCCCTCAACCAGGGATCACACCCACGCCCCCTGCATTGGGAGCATGGAGTCTTAACCACTGGACCACCAGGGAAGCCCCTCAAAGTAGACAATTTAACACTACCCAGATATAAACACAGGATATTACCAACCCCCAGAAATCACCAATCCTCCCCAAAAGTGGCCACTATTCTGCTTTCTGTCAACATTGATTAGTTCTGCCTGTTTTTGAATAGTATTATGTAGCATGAACTTCTTTTGTCTGTTTCTTTCACTCAGCATTATATTGGGGTCATTCCCATGATGTTATAGATTTGTTCCTTTCATTACTGTGGACTATTCTATTGAGTCAACATGCCACAAATTTTGATTCATGCTCTTGTTGATGAACATTTAGGATATATCCACTTTGGTGGAATATGTGTGGCTTGCCTTTTCACTTTCATGATGAGCAGAATTTTTAAAATTTTTATTGTCCAATTTATTTTTTTCTTTCATGATTGGTACTTTTATTTTTTATTTTAATTTTTTTGGGCTGCGCCGGGTCTTAGTTGCACCATGTGGGATCTTTTAGTTGCGGTCTGCGGACTTCTTAGTTGCAGCATGTGGGATCTAGTTCCCCGACCAGGCATCGAACCTGGGCCCCCTGCATTGGGAGCGCAGAGTGTTACCCACCGGACCACCAGGGAAGTCCCTGGTTGGTACCTTTTGTACCCTAAAAAATCCTTGCCTCACCCAAGGTTGCAAAGAATTTTTCATGTTTCCTTCTAGAAACTTTGTGGTTTTAGCTTTAATATTTCAACGTATAATCCATCTCAGTTTTGTTTATAGTATGAGGTAGAGGTCAAGGTTCACTTTTCAATATGTCTATGCAGTTGTTTCATTGTCTTTATTGAAACAGACTTTCCGTTCCCATAAAATTGGTATGTTGCCTTTATTGCAAATCAATTATCATATATGTGTGATTCTATTCTTGGACTCCATATTTTGGTCTGTTGATATATTTGTCTATCCTGGTTCCAATATTACATTATAGTCATTATTATAGTTTTATAGTATTTCTTGAAATCAGGTAATATGTCTTATTATTATTGTCTTGGCTAATCTATGTATTTTCATTTCCATGTAAATTTAAAATCAGCTTGTCCATATCTATAACAGCAGCTTGTTGGAATTTTTATTTGTTTTGTACTGAATCTATAATTCAGTTTCAGAAGACTTTTTGACATTTTTATAATATGGAAACTTCCAATCGATGAACATTGTACATCTTTCTGTTTGTTTTGATTGCCTTTAATTTATCTCAGCAGTGTTTGGTAGTTTTAAGTATAGTTGTTTTACATATCTTTTGTCAAGTTTATTTCTGGGTATTTGACGTTTTTGATGCCATTATGCATAGTATTTTTAAATGTCATTTTCCAATTATTGGTTGCTAACATTCAAAAATACAATTATTTGGAGGGTATATTGTATACAGTGATCTTTCACAGTTCACTTATTAGTTCTAGTTAAAGTCCTTTGGATTTCTCATGGACATAATCATGTTATCTGTGAATAAAAATTACTTCTTTCTAATCTTTATGCTCCTTTCGCTTTTCTTCCTCTCTTTTATTTTTCTTTGTTGTAATGACTAGGACCTTTAAAAATGTTGACTAAAAGGGGTGAGGGTAGACATCCTTGCCTTTTCAGGTCTTTAGGTAGAAAACATTTATTGTTTTACCATGAATTATGCCATAATTTTTTTTCCCTCAAAGGTTTCATCAAATTGAGGAAGTCCCCTTGTATTCCCAGTTTGCTGGGAATTATTTTTTTTTATCATGAATGAGAGTTGAATTTTATCTATGCTTTTCGTGTTTCTATTAAGAAGGTCATATGGTTTTCTTCTTTATTCTACTAATGTAGTAAATTGCATTGATGGATTTATGGATATTGAACCAACCTTGGTTTTTTTCTATGGAAAGTACCCCTTGGCCAAGATACAGTGTCCTTTTTATATATTGCTGGATTTAATTTGCTAAAAATTTGTAAAGGGTTCTTGCATTTTTGTTGAAGGATATTAGTGCATAGTTTTCTTGTGTCAGCTCCTCATGTGAGTTCCTACGGGCAAAGGTAGTCTTTCATTCACTGCGTCGTACGCCAAGCCCCGCCCCCAGTTCTAACCACAGAAAAGGCGTTCTACAGATAAATAGTCTTTGACATGAGTCAAAAGACCTAGGCTGGAGACCCACATTTATTAGTTTATTTAAATTATTTCAAATATTAATGAATTTTACTCATTTGCATTCCAGCCTTGTACCAGGGTCAGTGCTGCTCATTGGAGGTTTTCCTCCTCCACGTGCAGCCACTCCTCAGCGTTATTCGATAATTCTTCCTCATGTCTCCCACCTCTGAACATTGGAGGGCCACAGGATGTAGTTCTTGAACCCCTTTTCTTGCTCATCTGAATACCTAGCCTGGGCTATGGCCATACCACCCTGTATGTGCCCTATCTTGTCTGGACATCCAGCCTCATGGCTGTGAGCACCAGGTGTCAGTGAATAACTCTTACAGATCTGCAGCCTGAGCCTTCCCCTTGGCTTCCCACTTGATGTGTCCACTGCCACCCTCGAGCATCACCACTGGGCAGTTAAAAGGCATCTCAAGCTTAGCACGTCTAACACTGAGCTCATGGCCCTCCCCGCCAGTCTTTCAGGACAAGGTGGCTCCAACCTTCCGGTCGTCAGGCCACACACCGTGGCATCATCCATGCCTCTTTTTCTCTCCCACTTCATTAGTAATTCTCTGCAAATCCTCTCAGCTCTACCTCCCCGCTTCCCCTGCTACCACTGGCATCCAAGCCAGCATCACCCCTTGCCTGGATCACACAGTAGTTCCCTAACTGGTTTCCATAATGCTCACTCTTTGCAGTTTTCCCAACATAGCAGCCAGAGCAATACCTTTAAAGTGCAGGTTTGGGACTTCCCTGGTGGTCCAGTGGTTAGGACTCCACGCTTTCACAGGCAAGGGCGTGGGTTCGATCCCCGGTCGGGGAACTAAGATCTCGCAAGCTGTGCAACACGACAAAAAAAAAAAAAACAAAAAAAACGCAGGTTAGATCATATCCCTCACTTCCTAAACCCTCCAGAAGGCATTTGCCTCACTCAGAGCGGAAATCCAGATCTATAAAATTCCCCTCACAGCCCCTCTTGTTACCTATCTGACTTTATCTCCTTCCATGCTTTCTCTCGCTCACTCGACTTCAGCACCGTGGCTTCCTTACTGTTGCTGAAACATACAGATTCTGCTCCCACCCAGGGCATCGTACTTGCTGTTGCCCTGCCTAGGATGCTCTCCCGTCAGCCGTCCTCGAAGCTTGAGGTCACCCCTCCCTCTGTCCAGTCCTCTGCTTGCAGCACCCCCGGCTGTACGACCTCTAACTGGAGGACCCCCCCCCGCCCCGCCGAGAAAGAGCCCTCTTGCTCTTCCCTGCTTTCTTTTTCACCTTAGCACTTTACTACCTGACATATTACATATTTTATGTATTTAAACTGTTTATTCTCTGAAACCTCCAATAAATTCTAAGCTCAGTGAAATCAGGAATTTTTTTTGTTATTTGCTGCTCTGTCCCCAGTCAATAAAACAGTGTCTGTCACATAATAAATATTTTTGAATAAATGAATAAGCAAGTGATAGGAATAAATACAAGAGTTATAAGGAAGACCCAGTCCTTGACCACATGGAGCTGCCAATCTCCATAGTAGTGAATGGATTAGATGAAATTCTAATAAGAAAACAAACAAACAGTGAGAGAGAGAAAAAAGAAATGCAAAAAAGACAGGCAGTAAAACCTTGTGGGTGGCCCAGGCATGAAGGAAAGCCGAGTCTCTATTAAAGAAGTAGAAGGAAATGTGGATAATGCAGTGTCTCGGAAGCAGAGGGAAGGAAGGTTCAAGAAGGAGAAGGACCTTGCGGGCACAGTTGTCATTTCCTTTAAGAGTTAACATGCATCGGGATTCATGCAAAAATATTGCCAGTTCCAAAACTGGTTTCAGAAGGTTCCCAGGCTAGGGGCGTACAGTGAGGCCCGGCTGTGTATAATCCACACAGTGGAGATGCTTAGAAAGAACAATGCCACTCCCGTGAATGGCAACGCGAGAAGGAAAAGAACTTGGTGACAATCTGTCATGAGAAGTTTAGCCAAAGAGTTCGCAA